CCAGAGTGCTCAGCTTGGCATACACAGCAGGGAACTGCTCCAAGAGGCTTATTATCCATGCTAGCCTAGCGACCACCGAAGGGCTATGTCGGAAGGCTTGGTTAGATCAGGACGCTGCATAAAACGTGGCTGGTAAGTTCGGGCCATCAGAGTGAACAGATCCTGTCCCTTTTTATCAACTGATCAACTGTGTCACTTGGACCTGTGCAAAGCCAGGAGGCACAAGGATTCAGGCTGGAGAAGAGCCGCTGAATGTAGGTTTGCCGTTCGCCATTTTAGCAGTCCAGACTGATCTAGCGGCTCAACCACGGCGTTGGAAAACAAAAACGCAGCAACAACGGTGTGGAAATGTCTGTTGTGGCGTCGACCTGAGAAGTAGACAACTTCAGGCGCTCACACTCTACTTACGCGAACTGAGATTTGTAGTGCAAGAAGTGTACATGTTCCGTGTATCTTTTCCCGCAAGATAGGTTGAATCCAAGTAAGTTGCTCTGTCCCCAGCATGGTTACATCTGCCCATTAGGGGGTGCACAGACTTAACGTCTCCCGTAACCTTCACCTCTGATAGACGCCTTTAGTGTTTCGCAGTTGCCCTCTCCGACATAGGGACTTTCTTCATGGCATTCGAACCAGCGGAACTTACAGTGCTTTTTTTGTGGACGAAGCCTTGCTGATGCTCAATTCCGATTGGTCGGTAGGCTCAACGAATCTGCAGACACCAAACAACCCCAGCACCAAACAAACAAAACCAACAACAAACCAACCACAGACCCTAGCGGCTCGCCAAGTGAAGAAAACACTCAACAGGTAATGTAAAAGGTAAGACGTCATTCGAAAAAGACTATTTGGAACTTGCAATGTCTTTGAATGTTCGACCACTCAGCCAACAACTTCAAGACGCAAGTCCCTCAACTACGCCACTCCGCTAGATGGGGAACCCACCCAAGATTGATGCTGATACAGTTGGCACTCCGCCATATATTTATTCTTCAAGGAACATGTTTTTGCATTTTTTTGCTTTGGTCGCGCTGTGCGCAACCACCGCATGCAACATTCCATCGAGACACTGTTCGAGTGCGGCCTTCGAACGAATGAATCATTTCCACGGAGGAGACGCAACATGCTTTCAAAACTGTATTGATTCTGCAAGTCACTCGGAGGCAAAACTTCCTCTAGAATGGTTGGACATTCCGGTAATTAATGAAACATTTATTTTTGGGTTACCAGATGAATTATCAAAAGACATGGTGTGACGCAACAGGGGGAAAGATAATAACATGAATAACGCCGAAATAGCAAAAAACCTTTAACTGGAGTATTGCCCATGGACCAGCTCTACGGATTGAAGTGCCGCCAAAAGTGCTTGCAGCCTTGTCCACAAACGTGGTCGAAGCAAAGTGTGTGCGCAACAGGTTTTGCAGTTGATATTGGCGTTGAAAAATCGAGAGTTTTTTTGACATTGTGATTTGAGACCATGCATGGTGCCATGTTCAATAGTTTTTGTGTCCGCAAAAAAGCCAACATGTTTTGTTTTGCACAAGTCTGGGACATTTTCAGATGCTAGATGTTAACCACGGCATGGATCGTGTTCGATAGGATGCATCCAAACCAGGTCCTTTAAGTTACATAGAAACACGCAGCAGCGTTTGCCGGGGCATAGTCGCGATACTGAGACGTGGAGCAGTCTGAGCAGCGCATGCACAAGGCAAAGTGTCCTGCAACATGCAATTGCACAATATCACGTCATACCCGCTTTGACATTGAATTGAATTCAATTGGCATCTGGTTTTGCCGCCGGAGTCTGGTGTGATTTGCGCAATCACTTCCTGTGACGTTCGTGCCGCGCCGATCCAGCCGCAGCCAAGGGACGCTCAGTCAACAAGTATGTACAACATGTGTGTGAACATTTGGTATGGCAAGCTCCCAACGCATCAAGCAGCAAGTAGGAGGTCAGGTGTTGACCTGTACATTCATAGCAGCCAAGAAGTTTGGTTTTCAGAGCCCATCGGTCTGATTGTTTGATGCCGCATCATGCGACATGTGATGGGTAGATGTGGCACGATCAAAAGTTATCTTGTGGAACAGCCAAGTATGGAATGGCGAAAGCCTTTGTTAGTCGCGGGTGCAGCAGCTGGAGCAGCTGCTGTTGTGTGCTACGTGTTGAAGGTTCTGCACTGCGCAGTTTGGAATCAGCGATTATAAACGGTTTGCATTTATTCCAGGCACGGTCGAGGGCTTTGATTGCAGAAGATTCTTGTGGAGAGGCAGGGATGTGAATCTGCAATTTTGCCGCGCGACTGGATCAGTTGTTAATTTGGAGGATGACAAACACCGGCAAAATCAGGGCGATGAGAACGAGGAGCTGTGATTGGATTGTCGGCAATGGAAGTCTGGACTCTGTGCCTGTGCGGCTGTTATAGATTCCATGCCGGCAGGGGATGGCCAAAGAGCAGCTCAAAGAAATTTTGAAGGAAATGATCAAGTGTCAGGAGTTTGCTTACAGGGGTGCTATATGTGTCAACATCGTGCAGGCTTAAATGTAGTGTTGACGACCCGATGCCAGGAGCAGATGAAAGGTTTCATCAAAGATTTGACACAGGAGCTTGTTCTGCGTGTCGTCCTCCCAGCTCCAACTTTTTTGCAAGAACAACATCGCCTGATGTTGCGAGACTCAGCAATTGAAGACATCCATGGATTGAGTTCTTGATGCCAACATTTGGTAGTTGTTATTCGTGCACTGTTGATCAGCCTGCCGTAGCATCTTGGTGGAGGAGCTTGGTACGACAGCGTTGAGCTTCCATGAGACTTGTCGACGTGTGAAACAAGTGCAGCCGAGATCTGAAACGCAGATGGGTGCAAGGTAGTGCAGCGTAATTTAACTTTGGGTGGCAAGGCCAGCCGACCCTTTGGAAAGCCGTGGCTTGTGGGAGACTTACTTTGCTTTTTCAGGCTGCATTTTGCGTAGTTTGACTGTAGTCATAGTCTTTAACACTTCGTAGGAAGGTCATGGACTTTGACAAGCTCCTGCTGAAACACCAACATGATAGCGATGTGCGTTGCTGCCTCGTATAAACTGTTGTGCTATGTGTCCACACCAAAAGCATGTCATGCAAAGGCGATGCCATTGCAAAGATCATGGGGGCGCACCATGCTCAGGGTTGCTTCGCATTGAGCTCACATTAAGCAGTACATCTGAAGTGCACGTTCCAAACTTAGACAAAGGCCAAATCCCACGAACGCCGTCTCTGACAAAATCCAGGTTGCTGACCTTGATTTGGCTCATGGAAGTAGCCTGCCATGCCTGATGCAGTCCATCAGCGTGAAAGATATCATCGATATCCATACCTTCATGCTCCAGGACATGTGCGCTTTGTCCAGAGAGATCGCATTGTACGGTACATCAGGAGCTTCAGCAGCTCATCAAGGAATACACGGACTCTGAAAGCAAAGAGGCGCAAGCGTCCAGAAGTTGACCCCTGCTCGACCTGGCAAGTAATCGTTTGTTTTTTTTTGTGAATGTGCAAGATTTCCGAGGGGTGAACACTTGGAAGGAGACTAGGTAATTGTTCTGTATCCTGTATTCTGCGCAACAAGAGTAGCACATCTGCAAAGCATGACCTCTGAACTGAAATGCGATAACTTGTCCTTGCACCATGAATGAGATCTCTCAAGAAGCGGCTATAAACATAGCCTTCAGCGTAGAATCCGACGAGCCTCTGAATGCTTGACCCATTCAAACCTGAATCTCACACGCAAGAGGGAGGCTGAAAGCACGGTGCCTCCCTCGCAGTGTTACACAAAGCAATGGAATCTCGGATCAGTAAATGTCTCGCCTCTCATCGTGCCCGAGCCCTGAAACTCATCGACTAGATTTGGATTCTCTCCGTCCTGAACCTTGGTCTGACCTTCGGCATGACCCGAAGGCCCTCAAGCTCTGTGCCCCAAACGCCAAGCCCTAAGCCTCCCCGAACCCCCGCAGCTCAAACGCTACAGCCGAAAAGAATGTCATAGTCTAGAGCCGAGGCTAAACCACACTTTTTACAAAGGCTAAAGCCCTTAGAGCCGAATGCTAAGCTCAAGATCCATTTCACCAACACCCAAGAGCCCTACAGCTCCTCACCTATGCGCTGAGGCCTTAGCCCTTGATGTGAGTCCTGGAGCCCGAAGCCCATGAACTTCTTAATCCTGAAGCTCTAAACGGTTCAAACGCTGAAAAATCCAAGCTGAAACCGTAAAACCCCAAATTTGTGAGATCGGGTAAGCAAGCCCTTTAGTTCCACAAAAACTCCATAGACCCCATAGCTGCAAACGGCGTGGCCCTTAAACATTAATCTCATTCTAAGAATCCTGATCAGCTCTGATTTTCTCATCAAAGATATTTTCAATCTTTACAGTGCTGCAAGTCGGGGACGAAGGGACCATGAAGGTGAACACTTGGAAAACCATTAGCCCTAATATAGCTGCTATATGAGTTAATGTAGTTTCCTAGAGTCCCTTAAAAGGATCCCAAAACCCAGGGCTACAACTTTAAGGGTACAAGCCTGAAGCCTCGAAACTGGGGTTTTCAAGTGAAAAGTTCAGGCAGTGCTTTCTCATGTGGCGTCCGCACGCTTGCGGGAGGCCTTTGACACGAAAACTGTCACGATCGCTGCGCAGGTGGGCGGGCAGCCACTGGAGCATTCGGTATTTTTTTTCAGAAAAGCCTTAGCGCCTGAACCTGGTCAAGGCGATCATTGGGTCCAAGTTTGAAACACAGTTCAGCTTGACGTCGGAGGTCAGTTCCACCATGAATGTTTTTCTACCAGGCAGATACATTGCATTGCTCCAGGATGTCGAAAGTGCAGTGCTGATGTATCATGCGTGTGGCCCACAGTTTCTGGGTCTGGCGACTTTCAGACTGGAATATTGAAGCAGCTGCTTACTTTTTGTCATCCAGTTTGGCTGCTTTGCCCGTTGATTCCATGCTTCAGGAATCTGGCAACAGACCAGAACTTTGCCCAGATTAACATCAAGATCTCACATGCAATGAGCCCCTGGGCCCCAGATTCATATACAGCGAATGCAGCTGTGTCTTCCATCGGCCTGTGGAGTTGAACAGCTGAGGCCAGCTTCTGGGAACTCCCTTTACACCCAGTTGATCTTTGAGTGCGGAAACCAAAAAATGATGGCATGTTACAGGGCTGTGTCCTCGTTGTCTTATTCGGGGCAGCGCAAGTGCCAGGCAGCCTGTATTTTTTGAAGCCCTACATTTCATGCTCAAGCGAAGTGTGCTACTGCATTCATTCTGGCTCAAGCCGGAAGTCGCATTATCTAAGCTGACACTTTGCAGAGCACCAACGAACTAGGCACTAATTAGGGATCATCATGGATCTCCTTACATGCAAACCGCTGGATTCGTCTGCTACATGCTGCCACATGGCTAGCGAGGCAGATGAACCGTTTGATGGGCCCAAGCATTTCTGGGGGTCGCAGGTGCAAGCTTCCATGGTCATTTCGAGCAGCCCGTAGCTGAGCTGTTTTCCTGCAAGTTTCAGATGCTTGAAGCTGTCATATCAGAAAGCTGATGCCAAACTGAACGGGTTCTATGGATATCTCTAGCAGATGTCAGGCATCGCAAGGTGACAAGCTGGACGTGCATGTTAGATCCAAATACTTGTGTAGACCATTCCGGCACTAAGTGAATGGTTCAAGATGCCAGTGTATCTTTGCCTTCGCGCCCATTCCATTGAGATAAGTCCGCTTTGTCTCGGCGGCATTCAGGCAAAGCAAGGCGCAAGTCAACTTACACGGAGTTGTTTTTGAATTTTGGTGTGTCAGTGTCAACTTTCATGTTGAGGTGCAGGCGAAGGCTGCAATGCGAGAAGCAGCCCCTGGACAATAAACGATTTGTACCAGGCAGACTAAACTGATGAGTCTCGTTCGGCAAGCAGATTTGTGACCTTTTGGCTGGCTGGCCTGCGCAGGCTCTACAGGCTGAGCAGCGTACTTCCGCAAGCTTGAGGCATGCTTTGCAGCGCCTGTGTTTTTGCAACGTAAAGTTAAAAGGAGTCGTCCAACTGAATGGCAAAACATTGGGAAAACGAATCCTGAGTCCGTATCACTTGGAAGCCCGATTGATCGAGGCTGGTTTTCAGCGGCAAACGAGGTGTTCGACAATAATTCAGGCTGCCAGACCGTAACTGTGTCATGGGCAAAGTACGCTACACTAACCTGCGCTCTTAACTAGTAAGGCCGCCCCCCGCCCGGCCCCCCGCCCTCCCCATATTGATAACCTAGGGCCCATTATTCTAGGGATCCAACATTCCCAACGAAAAAGTAATGAATGAGCATCAATTTAGATCTAATTCATTTCTGATTGAAATCTAAAGAACAGCCGTTGAAATCTAATCAAACCCCGGACCTTAGTTAAACTGTAAATCACAACGCCAAAATCCTAAAGTCAAATCCAATTGAAATCTAATTTAGATCTAATTTGAATTCACCTAAACTGCATTGTTCGAAATAAAACTTAATCAGAATCAATTGAAATTTAGTTAAAACGAATAGAATCTATACAAAAAGGATGTGAAACTAATGACCCTAAAACAATTGCCATGATTCCAGAGGGTTTCCCATCAATCTAAAGAAAGTGTCTCTCACGCGAGGTTCAAAAGGGGTAGCTCAGAAAGCAATGTTAGAGCTTTTAATTCCTAAAGAACCTGAACAAAGCAATTCAGGTCTCAGAATCAGCTCTCCTGTTCTCATGTTGAAGCCTTACTGAGCAAGTCAGGCTTCCGAATCAGCTTTCCTTTTCTGATTCCAAAGCAGTCAAGTAATTAGCCTTGTAAAAACGTTGCTCGAAATTAGTGACCGGTTTTTCATTAATAACTCTAAAGAAAGCACCTGTCATGCAAGGTGTGCAAGGGGAAGCTCTGGAAGCCATGTTTGAGTCTTGAATTCCTACTGAATGTGAAAAAGCAATTTAGGTCTCAGAATCAGCTCTCTTATCGGGATTTCAAGTTTCAAAGTTTAGGCTCTAGCTTTTAGAGCCTTAGAATGTGAAACCAAACCTGAAACCTAAACCTTGCCATTTTCTAGGGTCCGGGAATATTTATCTTTCAGTCTGGGTTTTTTTCCTCCCAAACGGCGTCCGCATTTCAAGTTATCTTTGAGCCCTTATTTTGGCCAACAAGTTTTGTTTAAATCAAGTGGTTTTGGCTTAATCAAGAGCACGGATGAAATTTGCCGGTGCAGGTGAGCACAAGTGGGTGACAGTGCATGGATCAGGACAACTCAACTTCTCAGAACTTTTGGTCCCGCCAGCCCTGATGGTCCAGCTCATGTTCGTCAAGCCTGAGCAGATGCAGATGACATTGGAGTCGGAGGAAGTAAGAAGGACATATTCCATGTTTACTCTTCTTAGATTGTGTGCTAAGGGTAAACGGGCCGAGATCGTTCTTACCAAGCCCCAAACAGTAGTTGCAAGCATCGATTGTTTGTCGAGAGATTTGTAAGGATGTGGATTTTCGGTGCCGAGCATTTGTCTTCGGATGGCACAGAAGTCTGAACAATTTGCCGAGTGAGAGTTTCTGAAGAATTCTACTCCCGCTGCAGTTTTACTTGAGTTGGCCCAAAAGCCGTCTAAGTACAGGTGGGGCCAGAGGTCTATTTGCGCAGGCTCTGAAATGCAGGTTTCATAGCCAACAAGCGACGTGCAGGTGTGAGCTGCAGAAGGCCAAAGCAGAGATCACTCATCTCCGCGCACCGCGCTCAGCCTTTCTGAATTTGAAAAGCGAAGCGGTGGCAGCTTGACGGGAGACTAAAAACATCGGGTGGTGTGTCGTGAGCCTCGCCCTACCTGCTGCACAAGCGTCAGATGAAGAGGATGTGGACGACTTGCAGTTGGTTAGCTGGAGTTGAGTCATTTCAAATACCTTCACCTTGCACTGCTAAGGAATATGTACAGCGCTTGGAGAAGAGCAGCAGGTGCGCAAACTGTTCAGCTACAGATGTATTGGGCCATCGCTCTGCTGCCAGGTTCGTCCGATGTGATGAAAAAACGGAAGTGCAGGATCTCAGAAGTTGTCCTGCCTGCACACAGCTTTCACAAGCATGCTTGCAAGAGACCGTTTATGACTGGGATGGCTTTCATATGTCAGAATTCGGTACAGCATGTGGAGCACTGAAAACCTTTGCTTAATGCGAATACTCGGAGTTTTCGTGAGTTCGGGCCTCTTAAAACTGCGGGCTCAAAGTGAGTAACAGAGATGTTACGCCTCTTGTGCTTCATTCATGTGCATTGCATTCTTGGCGGCATGCATTCCGGCCACAGTTGCGACTTGTTGTTTGGCGGTTTGCGATTCCACGCTTACAGACCCCCTGTTAGTTGACACAGTTCTGATTCTTTGTCATGTTTGGCTGGAAGGGCTCAATGCCTCACTTGTCAAGTCCAAAGCATGTGATGGCCTCCTTTTGTGTAGTGAAAGCCCCTTTGGATGGCTGTCCCATGTGTGGAAGGACTTGACTTCGTCAGACGAGACAGCAAGGGCCGAAGCGGTGCACAACCAGAACTTCCAGCCTTGTATAGACACGGTGCCGCCGCTACAGCAGCAGCAGCTGCCGCAGCAGCAGGACGAAGGCATTGTTCGCTCCGAGGCCAGGTGAGTTTTGTGGGATACGCTGGACAGTGAAATGATTGTCAGTGGTGAGTGTTGTTTTTCAGGACGTCCCTCCAAGCAGCTGTGCTGAAGCTGATGCAATCCACGGTGCGGAGGCTATGCCTTTGTCTTCATCCACCTGCGCAGCATTATTGTGGGATTCCATATGCCGACAGAGAATTTTTTTCACTTGCCCTTGTGGCTTTCCAAATCCAAGCGAAGGTGGAACTGCTGTTGTTTGAGCCGTGATGATTTCACCAAGAGGTTTGGCAGACTCAGCACTTTTTTGTCGAGCTTCTTGGAGTTCAGTAGGACTGGAATTGGGTTTCGGGGCACTCAGCTGACACCTCAGCTGAAGCGCCCTGATCAAACCGTTGCCCATGATTTTTTCTTAAGATTTCACGCCGTCTTCGTAGAACACGGCCCGTGCCGAATTCCCAAGATTTTGTTTCTTTGTCCTTTGCCTCCCCGAGGCATTGGAAAGACTTTGCCGGCTTTCGCCAACATGTAGGGAATACGTTTGAAGCGATCAACAAAGGGGATCAAAGGGTTGGTTAGATTTATGCAGGCAGGAGATGCCGAGAAGACGCAAAAAGTGGATGGCGAGTGCTGGTCTTAGCCGAGCCTTGCAGTCGAGCCTGTCAGAGATGCTGACAAGCAGGGATGTGTCAGGTGCGAGACACACTGTCCAAGCACAGCTTCAAAGGGTTCCTACGTAAGGGCTGCCGACAAGGTGCGCAAGACGTGCAAGCGCACCTGTTCGCTGTACTCCGGCCTGTTGCATTTTGCCGATCTGATGGATGCAGGTGTATTGGGTCAGCTATGAGGATCCACTACAGCTTATTCGCCTGCCCAATGCCTGGAGCCTGGAAAACGGACGCATGGTCGTGTAGAACTTGAGTGTGTGAGTCCCAAGGCGGAGCCCATGCAGAACAGCAAAACTACCAGGCAATGCAGCCTATACTTCAGCAAGCATCGAAGATGCATTGGTGCGGCACAGATTCATGTATACTAAAGAGCTTGGCAAATCCAAGTGCATAGCGCCACGAGTGTTCGCTGCGAACCCCGCTTTCGCCTCCCTGTGTCATTCCTCGAAGCCATGGCAGACGAGAAGAAGAACGGTTTGACAGTTCTGGTGTGTGGAGGTGGCAACGCAGCACAGGTGGCAACTTCAATGTTCGCTGCCCGTTATGAGACATATGCCATCTCACTGTAGCCTGCCAGCATGATAGCAGGACTGCTGAACTGATCAGCTGGAAAGAGCTTCACTAGATCATTGTTTGTGTAGGAATGCCCGTGCGAATTGAAATGCAGAGGGGCTATATTGGCGTATGCAGGTATGCTGATGAGGCTGCGAACTGGAAGCAGGCCATGAAGGGTCGGTGGCACGACAAGGTAGAAGGAATGGAGCTCACTTTGGACACTGGCAAAAAAGTCGTCTCGATGCCTGCAGATATGACCAACGATCCCAGCATCTCGGCCAAGGCCGACGTTATCATTTTGGCGGTTCCCTCTTTCGCCCATGGACAGTACTTCGAAGCCTTCTATCCACACATCAAGCCAGGCACGATTGTAGCCTGTATGCCTGCTCGTTCAGGAGGTGACATCCTTTTTGCCTCTAAGATGAAAGAGAAAGCAGACAGCCTTGCATTTGTGGGATTTGAGACGCTGCCATGGGCATGTCGCTTCACCGAGTGGGGAAAGAGGGCCACCATCCTGGGCACGAAAGGACAAATCTTGGCTGCGGTGACTCCGGAGAGCAAGGCCTCCCATGCCATTGCAACCCTTCAGGGGCTGCTTGGTGTCTTTCCGGAGGTCTTGAAAAGCCCAAACAACTTGGGCATCAGCCTGCGCAATCCGGGACAAGTCATTCACCCAGGCATGGTTTCATTGAGAGATGTTGGGAACACATCGTAGTTTGGAGCTGCAGAGGGGTAAGAAGGGTGAAGCTTAGCATTGACGGCATTTGATGGCACTGCAGGAGTGATGTATGGCCGCTGGTGTTCAGAGAAATGGGATGGCCAGAAGCTTTCCGAGAAGCCGTTGTTCTACCAGGGCGTTGACGACTTCACAGAGGGCATCCTCCTTGGGCTCTCTGATGAGGTGCAGGCAGTGTGCCGCAAGGTCGAGTCACTGGTTTCAGGGTTCGACTTAAAGGATGCCTGCACCCTGCATCAATGGTACCTCGACTCGTACAAGGGGCAGATGGCTGATGACTCCACCCTGAAGCTGTCGATGAATACCAACAGCGCCTACACAGGCCTCACTCATCCCATGAAGGAAGTGGACGGTGGCTTCATGCCTGACTTGAAGTACCGATATCTTGCTGAGGATGTTCCAACCGGTTTGTGCTTCACTCGTGGCCTTGCTGAGTTTCTCGGGCAAATTGGTTTCATGCTATGCAAAGCCAGGGATAAGCAAGGAGTTGAACACGGACGCTTGATGTGCCTTGAATTTGGCATCCAAGGCTCCTCGAAGTCCCCACCCCTACCATGGACAAGGCAGGCGCGCTGATGTGCGGGGAAGGTGTGAGGAGCAGTCTCATGTCAGTGTACCAGTGTACCTTACTTGTGTGCTATGGCGTGCCAGGTAATTACCTTTGCACAGGAGCACCTAGGCAAGAGTTTCTTGACTGACGGCAAGATGGCTGGTGCTAATATTGGGGAGACGCGAGCACCGCAGGCTGTCGGAATCCATTCTAAGGAGGATTTCTTCAAGATGGCCAAGATCGCTTAAGACATGGCTTGTATCTTTGCCTTTGCAAGTAGAGCCAATCTGTTGGTGGTTCGCGCCTTGTACAACTACACCCTGTGCGCGTGCACCGGCGACTCAGCCGAATTGCTTTCAAGCCTTCGCGCTGTCTCAATCGCTTCTGGCAGAGCCAAGCGGTTACCTAGGCGGATTCAACCAAATGCTTGATCCGGCAGCAAAAACTCAGTAGCAAGCAAGACGTGGAAATCAGGCATGCGCTGTCACCGATTTTGAACTCGTCAGGGCACAGGATGACGCAGTACACGATGATACTGCCCCGAACCCAGCATGCATGCACCGTTATGTTCTCAGAAGTTTTGCCCGTCAGGCTCAAGCCGTGCTGTCATCTTCCAGGCAACACTCCAAGAGAGAGGAGGTGCTTCTGCGGGTGCCTCAGCTGTGTGTTTGCATTCTCGGTCAGACGTGCAGTGCAGTGCCCTACCCAGGCCAGGCACACCCGAGAAGTTGTCGCGCACCCGAGACTTTCAGGTTGATTGCAGGGCTTTCTTCATGCTTGGCTGCCTGCGTGCTCAAGGCCTCGTACTGCGCTCCGACAGCCAAGCTCGGATCCCTTAGTACAAGAAGTTATCATCTCTCGGCCCTGGACCTTGTCAGGCGCGGATCGCTGCTTCTCAGCCAGGGGCAAGTTGCAAGGCTCTCCAGAAAAATCAGTGCTGCACATGTGAAGTGCTAAAAAGCTAACAGAAGGCCATGGCATGGCCGTGCTTCAGGCCGGCCAACGTCACATGAAGCCACGATGTTCACAGCAATATCTTCCCCTACCAGGTGCCAACGCCACGGACCATCGCTCAAAGGCCGGCTCAAGATTCTTTGCTCGGATCATTTGACCTCACCTTAAAATGCACCACAGCGAACTAGGACCACATTTAATAGGAGCCGATGAGTACTCGATGGACCTTAATCACTCGTGTTCTTTGGGGCTGGCGGGAAGATTTAACAATTGAGGTTCAGGATTTGCAGGCTTAAGGTTTGCGTCTTGGTTTAGGGATCCGGGCTTACATGTTGTCATTTTTTGTAGCTTAGGCCGTGTTGACGGCAGCGTTTACGTAGGCGTTTTGGATTATGATGGAGGGAATCCTACAGATTCATGGGGTTAGGGCTTGGGATCTCTCATTTTCTAGCCTGATATTAGGTGTTGGTGATCTGATCAGCATTTGGACTTGATGGAGTTGAGTGATTGGATTTTGGACATGTAATTTTGAATTCTAAGCTTTGGGGTTTATTCGTTTATGATTCAAGCGCTCATTTTCCGGAGTCGGAGCTTTTGCAGGTTTCGGGGTTAATGTGTTTGCATGCAGGGGTTTACGAATCTTGGGTTTTCGGGCTTGTAGTGTTCTGCAGGGTTGCGCCTCATCTTGTTTTTGTGGTGACGGGGTGCTAAGGATTAGATGTCTTTAGGATTGTTGCTCCAGAGATGTTTTGGGTTGCCACATAGACCCTTGATGCCAAGCTATTTGCCATTTGGTATGCTGAATTTCCCATTTTCGTTGCTGACCACTCACGTAGTGTTCTTTGTTTCTTGGTTAGTTCGTCAATGTCTGTTTGCGTATTTGACTTTTTGGTACAGGCTGTCATGGGGCATCCACTCATGATGTCATGCGAGTTCTCGATTTGCGCAGGCCGCCTTATGCTTTCGTGCATCAAATGCCGCACCAAGCCCGGGGCTCAAATCTGTAGGTCTTGGAGGTCTGGCTGTGCATGTGCCTCAGCCTTTCTGAGGTTTACTCAGCCTGGCAGAAACATGAAACTCTGCCGTCAGCAGCTCAGCAGTCGAAGCTTCTGAGGGTCAGGCAAAGAAAGGCCAACACCGGCAGATTCCATCCCACCTGCCAAGCAGATTGTTCCATTGAGCACAATCGACCGCAAAGACGTATAAAAGGGCGGCTCATAGCGGGATTTTCCCTTTGAGCTGTTGTGCTTCCTAGGCGGAGAGCAAGCTCGACACACTCCCTGCACGCCACGTCCTGGGTGTTGTGCACACGAGACAACTGATCCCATGGATCCTCAAATCCAAGGCAAGACACAGTCTGCTGCAACGGCAGAGATCAGGCCATCGATTCACTTGCCTCAGTCCAACCAACCGATACTGTTAGATATTGCTGCGTACATTTACTTATATCTCCCATTTTCAAAACAATTTGCGTTAGAATTCTCGTGTTCTGGGGCTAAGCAGCTGTGGCAGCGTCTCCCATCTGTCCTGTCATGCAGGCAGCCTTCAAAGCATGAGGCAAGCTTCTCAGCGTGCTTTGTGAGTGAAGCAGGTTTGGGATTCCAAGAGATGTGCCTGCTACACCTGCAAAAGGTGCCTGCATCCGTCGGAACTGGGTCCTTTCTCACAGCGGTTGCCACCAAGGGCGTCGTTCTGAGTTTGCAAATCGCCAGCACACAAGTCCCGTGGTGTGAACGCGAAGCCATGGTCTCCAGGTGTACTGTCGACCTTTGTTGGCGACTATGCCCCCTCAGCTGTCATCGCCTTGGATTCTGACGAAGTCGATGCTGACCTCTAACTTCTTCTAGCAGGCGAGCCTGCAGCAGCTCCAGGAGTTGCAGTGAAGAGCTCCGGGGATATCAGAGGAGCGACGTTACTTGACCGTAGTGTGTTTTGTTGGGCACAGTGCAGGCTTGGCCAATGATTTCTCCAGGCTCTGAAAATCTGAACGGACGGCAAACCAAAGTGTCATGCTGTGTAAAGTATTGATAGGTTTCATGGTTTCGTGGTCAAGAGCAAAGCATCTTGGCCAATGTTTCACACCAGCGCTAAGTGACTACTCTGCGTGCACCGACGCCCCCTCGCATTATGATGAATACTCGGTGGTTACAAAGACCAGACACGGGATGGTTCAGGTCAATCAACAAAACTACTGTCACACTAACAGATGAAGCTATCGAGCAAACCGTGTTCAATCAAGGGTTGCCGGCTTGAAGGGAGAGAGCCGGGAGTTGGCCGCAAAGGTATTGATACCCCTGAATGCCGACTGGACTCGGCTAGCTTGAACCCCCTTCTAAAATTCAACTAAAGGCCTTTTTGGAGGAAACGTGGGTTGTGGAGAGGGGGCCTTAGAACCCAGTAGCGTTTTCATTGCGCAGCTTGTCTTTGGCTCTGGCATTGCAGCCAGCTTGCATGCGTAACATGGCAGCCATGACCACAATGTTTCGAGTCTTGTGCTAGCTGAAGCAGTGCCGAGCTACTGAGATCTGCAGACTAAACATGCCAAAAGCATATAGAGGGTTAAAGAGACCAAATCATGTCTCAGTGTCAGCGCATGCTTCCTTTTGTCCTCTGAAGCGCCCCGAGCTCGATGCCGCCTTGTTAACTCGCAAGACCTGCAAGCTGGCTACTCAGGTGTTCATTGAAGTCCAGTCATGCCAGAGGCTGAGTGCAAGGGTGAGGTGAGATTCGGACAGCACCTACGCTGCACCTACAACTCAAGTCGCAGAGGTTAGAGAGGCATGGCCCAGCAGGCTTGGGAAGCCCCGCTCTCAGCTGCAGTCCTGCTGTTGTGCAGATCTCAACACAAAGCACGCCTCAGGATCAACATCTAAGCCTGAGAGGAGGTTGCGCGGGGTAGAAACGTATCGCAAATTTTCAAGACAGAAGGACAAAGTTTCCCGCGGCCGCAGGCAAGTCAGCCACATTCTGGACGCGTAGAAGAACATGCTGCTCCTGCTGCCGAGGCTGGTGTAGAGCTAGGCTGACGCAACATACTGCTTGACCTGCACAGAAGCGTTGGAGACCTGGTTCGCTTTCCGAAGATGGCCGCTTCCTCGCAGTTTTGTGTTGGACCTTGCTTTTTTCCAGAGCTGCTCTGAACATTCGCAGATGGTTGGAGCTGGATGAAGCTGGCCGATGCCTAATAAACTTAATGAAGTAGACCTGGCTTGTAAAAGCAAAATGAGCACTAGGGCGGAAACCAGATGTACGATGTCTAAAAGCTTAAGCCCAGTCAGACTAAAGCCAAAGAAAAGCGATGGCAAAAGCTTCAGAAGATTCACTCGAGATTCAGTTGACTTTTACTTGTTTAACTTGCATTTAGCCTTTTTGTTGCAGCTTTCCCGGAAAGAAGCAAATTGTAATCGCTGCACGCCGTCCCCCTCGGCGTGGCTCTGCGATTGCCGAGGAAGCAGATAGTGGCTATTGTGTAAGGAAGGAAGGGTTGTGGATGTAGAGGGGGGGTGAGTGGGCGGGTATGGGCACTGGCTGCACGGCCCCTTTCAAGGAGGTATGGGCAAAACATATTCAAGGTATTGGATTTCTTTCAGAGGGCGCATAGGGGGTACAGGAAGGGGAGATTTAGGGTTTAAGGTTTTTTTTCTTTTTTTCGAGGAGGTGTGGACAAGAGATGTTCAAGGTTTTGGGGTTCTTTCGGAGGGGTGCACAGGGGGTATGGGCAAGGGACATTGAGTGCTTGGGTTTCCCTTCAAAGGAGGTATGGGCAAACAGTATTGCAGGTTTTGGAGTTCTTCCGGTTTTCGAGGAGTTGTGGGCCAGGGCATTGAGAGCGCAGGGGTGGGGAACATTAAAGGCGTCCGTCCCACTTGCCCCCCTTGCCCCCTTGCCCCCTTGCCCACTTGCCACACTCGCCTCACTTGCCCCGCTTGAACTTGCCCCATTTGTCCCATTTGCCCCACTTGACCCACTTGTGGCTTGTCTGTGGGGCAAGGTCAAGTGGATCAGGCAGGGGTTCGTTTTTGGGGCAGTCAGGTGGCTGGTTTGGAGCCTCCGGATCAGGAGTTGAGGGGGGCCACATTATGAGGGGAGGAGTGGGGCAAGTGGGGCAAGCAGGTCAAGTGGGGCAAGTGAACTCTCTACAAGGGATATTCAGGGTTTCGGGGTTGGGTATGGGCAAGAGACATTTAAGGAGGTGTGGGCAAGGGGTATTTAGGATTTTTGGACCGCTTCAGAACGGAAAGGATTTGGGGTGTCGTTAGAGGGGTGCAAGGGGTGTGTGGGAAAGGGGCATTTGGGGTTCATGAGCTTCTTTAAAGGGGTGCATAGGGGGTATGGGCAAGGGATATTTAGCTTTTACAGCTAGCAAGGGGTATGGGCAATCAGGGTTAAAGGGTGGATATGGGCAAAGGATGTTTGGGTATTCGGGCCTTGTTTAAGCGGGTGTGCAGTTGATGTAGCCAAGGGATTTTTAGGGTTTACGGGTCTCTGTAAAGCGGGTATGCATGGGCAAGGGTTTCAGGAATGCTGGAAGGGGCCTGGGCAAGCCAAGCGCAGGGCAGTGAGGGCCAGCTAACTTAAAAGGGTAGCTTGAGGAAGATTTTGATATTTTGCAGTGGTGGAATGCCAAGAGAATATGGACAACCCCATCCGAGGGAAGCCAAAGCTAAAATGCAGCTAGAACAATTAGATGCAGCTGGAGGAGAGCTTACCAAAGGCCAACATCACATGTGTTGAAGCTGTTCTGTCCTGGGTGTAGACCGAACATGAGGCGTGACTGGCTTCAAGGTGATCCGCGTGGCCAGCTTGTCTCACTCATGGCTGCGTTCTGAGAGTCTGATCGTTCCTCCTATTGCTGTTGCACGACAGCACGACACTGACAGTCAAGGTGGGTGCTGTCGTGTTGATTCTCTCTGGTGCAGCAACTCGGCTTGATGCGGGATGGTCTGTGGAGTGCAGCCATCGGAATCTGCAGCATGTCTGTATCAGGCTGTTTGGTCAGCTGTGGGTGGTGATGAGAATGCTGATCACACATGGGAGCAGAGCATGTGGATGTCTTGGGGCCTCTTCTTCGACCCCGGCACGCAGACAGGTGCGCTCCTTGAAGAACTGCGGCATGAAATTCTTCTGGAGGATGTGCAGACTTTCATGTGGTCAAGGCGTGGCAGCGAATGCCGCGATCAAAGTGAAGCTGGCCGCATTGATTTTCTCCGTCCTTGGCTTTCTCTACAACTTGATTCCCGGCAGCAAATTGACAGAAGCCATGCTGGGGCATGTTTATGCCAGTAGACCTCACCAAGGACCTTCCTTGGCATCATTGCGCTGCCCCCAGAGAATCAAGTATGTTTTGGTGCTAGCCTGATGTGGGCTGAAAGGTAGAGTGGATCCGCTCTTCGATGGATACCTGGACAAGAACGAAAAGCCGAGTGTGGTATGGAGAGCATGTTCTGGTTCTTGGATGGAGTGAGAAGACCCTGTACCTCCTGAACGAGCTTTTCGAAGCTATCCACTCAAGCGGGAAGCGCTATCCCGTTGTTGTGATGGCTGACCGAGACCAAGCCGAGATGCACCAAGAGATTCACCAATATTTCCTGCAGCTTTGGGAGCACATGAGCTTCTTTGACAGGCCTGCTGCAAGGGTCATTTCGCAGGAATTCACACGGAACGGTGAGGTGCTGGTTGCTGTTGGCATTAGACATTGACTCAAACACACACAGCAGAAGGCCTTGAGGCTGCGCAAGACAACCGTTCCCCCTTCCAGCCCCGATCATGTAATTGGTCGCGCTGAATTGCGCTCGATGTGGAGTTGAATAATGCAATGCTTGCGAGCGACATCTGCCAAAGAATCCCAGGGCTCTCCGAAGGTGCCTAAAAGCGATGGCGCATTGGGAGGGCTGATGGGTGAGGGCTGCATGCTGTGGCGCGGGTAGGGACAGATGGATTTGGACCGAGATACATAGGTCATGAACGCACAGGGTTCGGGTGTAGGGCGGAGGTGGGTTCTCTATGTCGGTGCGATCATGTTACGCTTGGGTTGCCGTGCAGGCGCTGGCGAATGCTGAGTTCTCTGAAGATTCGGCAAGGCATTGCCCACGAGACCGACTCCTTGGACAGAGCCGGAGCCATGCGTGCTCAGGATGCCTCTGCTGTGTAGAGCAGACGCAGAGCGTTTCACTGTCCGATATGCAGGAGATCATCATCTTGTCTCGCGACGGCGACCCACGGACTGCAGACCTGGAAGCGGTGGGCTTTTGTCTTGTTCGGCAGTCTGCTGCCCTGGGCCTCTGCCTTGCTGTACAGATCCGCATTATGGTGGCTTTGTCTTCAATGCGACAGCCAGTACGCTGCCGAATCTTTGCGGAGGCCTGGATCACACTTGGAAGCCTGCACCTGACAGCTGGCTTTCTGAGGTGCAAGTGCAGGAGGTGGGAAAAGTCTTACGACGCCTGCACAGCCGAACCGAGGCCTTGTTCTTGGCCTCCTGCATTCGAGCCAGACCTGTTGCAATAAAGGTGCTGCTTGCACATAAGAATGAAAGTATGTGCAACCCATGTGAACCTTGTAGCTCGTAGCAGCTAGCAGCTAGAAAGAAGTCATGCGTAAGGGAAGAAGCATCATTAATAGGAGGAAGAGCTCTATGGGAGCGCTGTGTCTATATAACACCGCGAGGATCATCAGTATCAAGCATCGATTTGTTCGCTGCCGGGGAGAGAAGCTGCAATCCCTTGACCTTGACTCCCAAGCCCTGCGCGCACACCTTGACATATGCGTCGGGCCCCTGCAGCAGGGGTTGAGCACTAAGCATTGACTTTCCAAGCATAGACTTTCCATTTGCAGCCGTGGCATAATGTACCTCGTCTGTGCGGCATCAACCTGCGATTCCTGCAGGGTCCAGACACAGAATCGTGGGTCTGCAGTACAACTGACGTGGCATGCATGGGTTCGTGTCGCAAAGCTGTTGGGCTTCGTTTTGTCCTTCCTCGTGATGCAACCTCAAGAAATGGGTTGGACATCGATAAAAACTTTCAGAGCGCGTCTGAGCAGGTTTGGCCTGCAGCCTGATTGGAAAGCTCCAGGTTTCCTTCATATCAGAAATTACCAAAATGAGGACTAGCCAAATTTTGTCACTCATTTTCTTGCAGGGAAACAGCAGATATCGAGAAGCCTTCTGGACCGGAGTGTACCGCAGTTCCCTAAACCCTAAACCCAAAACCCTAAACCCCAAACCCTACACCCCAAACCGTCTTTCAAAACGGGATGCAAAACCTGTCAGGCCTGAACCAACAGAGTCAAGTTGGATGGGCGGAACTGCAATGCACAGATCAGTCAGAAAGAAGTTTCTCCACAAAACCAATGCCCTACGCAAACTGCACGTGCACTCCTTTGTCATGGTGCGGTCCTGACAACCGTGCTGATTGTGGTGCTGTCATTTGTTGTGCAAAAGGCTCGCACCTCGTCTAACACGAGCCAGTCTACCATGGCGATATCCAAGCCAAATCTGAGCGCCTGGACATTTATGCCTCGCAGTGCGTGTGCAAGCTCATGCAAAAAGATGACGTATGGGGTGGCACACTTCAAACAAGTCTGGGGTCTGCTCCAATGAATCCTGTACCCGCAGTGAGATTTCTATTTTGCTGCAGATGCGGGTTCCTAACATTATCAGCGGTACATCTTAGTTCCCATGAAACACATCGACCAATTTTTGACATCCAGCTCTTCCATTTTCCAATGAACATGCTTTGGGCGTCTGGAGTGGTCAAGGAAGGGCTGGCCGAAACGGTGTGGAGTCCAGCGGGCTTCAGGAGAACAAGCGGGAATCGGAAGGGACGCAAAGAGTTGATCCCTAGACCCTAAAGCCTCAAACTGCGTACACATGGGGAAGATGGATGAGCAGCAGCTTCATCAAGACAGCGCAGGAACGCAGACAACTTGGGCCTAAATCATGAAGGCATGGTCTTCTGCTGGGTGTTACAGACGTCATGCACAAAGTAATTTACGTATCTTTGTGGTTGGGGAGCACGTCACCTGCCACAAGTGGATGGCAATCCGATTTCATATGCAGGTGAAGCTTTCAAAAACAAAGACGTGGCTCTTGAAAGCAGCTACTACAAGCATTACAAGCAAAAGCAACTGGACATGTTAGGCCGATGGCACGATTAGCTCCAATGTCGGAGCTTCTGTATCGCACTGTAAGCTGATTGCCCACAGCAAAACGTTGAGTTAATACCCTCAACGAAAAGTATTGCTCTTATCTGTTCCAGAGCAGTGTCACGAAGCTGCAATATGGGGAGGGCAGGGGCTGGCTGCAGTCTTTTCCCACAGCCCACATCTCGTGGGTGCTGCTGCTTTTTTCTCTCGGTATCTAATGACTTTGTTGGTCAGACATGCCAAAGGCTTTCTTACGGCGGCTGCAGCTGAGCAATGCTCATCAAGAAAAGTATGTATCAGTGGTGAAAAAAGACATGAAAAGAGTTGGGCTATGTCCCGCGATTTTTGCTTTTCACCTCTGGATCTAAGCAGGTCATACATGCGCGGGCTGCCTCGAACCACGTGCTCAGCCTGCTGGCAACAAATCATCTTGTAGGCACGGATGTCTTGATGTGCAAACTGATGGCTGGTGAGATCTGGTGAGTTCGCCTTGTGTTTTTGGAGCTGGCTTCCTTTGCTGAGTGGACCCCGCGCAGGGACATGTTTTGCAGACCTTTGCTCTTTCACAGCTGGTGATGAACTCTATGCACCTTGTCAAATTCTGGCTTTGGTGTCAAGGACGTCTTGTAGTTGCTAGCCAGTAAGCTGTATGTTCGCCGAGCGTAGTGTCACCAACGAATCTTTAAGATCGAGATGTTCCTTCCACAAACTTCATATGTGCTGAGGTTGTGGACCGCCAAGACGGCTGGAACACCTTTCAAGAGGCATGCTCAGCTTTCGATAAGGCAGTCTGCATCGGCGTTCAGGCGCGAAGCCATCACTGAAACGTCCATTTGCGCGTAGCTCCTCAGTCAGGCCGCGAAGCAGGTCAAGGGTGCCTTCGGTACGCGCATAGAGCTTGCACCCCCTGATGATCGGCTGCTGCAAGCTTGGCACCCAGCTATGCGGTACGCAGAGTTGTGAGTCTGTACCAGTAAGATGTGAGCTCTTGAGGAAGGAGAGCGAATCCTAGTCATGGCATCCGACTGGCAGGCAGACAGCTTTAGTTCAAGTAGGAATGCTTCCCAAAGTGACCATCCGAGCGCAGGTGGTTTTCTCACGTCAGGATGTGCAGGTGCATGTGGGAAGTCTTTGGCACTGGCGTGGTACCAGCCATGGACCGTCCACATCAACGAGGCTTATGGCAGGCTTGGCCGTGCAGCTTCAAAAAACCGTTTAGCAGATTCATCAATGTTTGGAGTTTTTGGGGGGAGCGGTGTACAAAATTGGACGCATACCTGGGAGAAAGGCTTGCCAAAGACGTGCTGCAAAGTACTTTGTTTGCGGGATTTGTCTGGTTCATTTGGGTTTGGAGGCCACAATTCGTTCCCATTGAGGGTCGCTCCCTCCTGGTGTGAACAGGGGTGATTCCATTGCGCGATTTGGGACAAGGACTTTTGATGATTTGTCATCAGGCTAAAGCTGTTGGTTCGCTAGCTGTAAACAAGGAGTTTTGCAGGTACTTCTGGGGGAGAGGCGACCAAGCATGGAGGGACCAAAAGTTGTTGTCAAAATGGATGCTGCTTTGGTTCGGGAACCCCAACCTCGCAAGTTAAAGTTATGAGGCAGAAAATCCAAGCCCCGATATGCTCGACTGTAAGCTTCACAGATTCTCAAAACAAATGGGCTTGCCTGCTGGAAACTTGGGCAGCCCTAGATGCTGGCACACTTGGAGGAAACCAGGAACACTCCAAGAGCTCACCAGAAACCCAATGTAAATGCTGGAAAACCTCGGGAAAACCCACGCGAGCTTGCATTGTTGCTGTGGTACATTGCTGAAGGCAGTTGATGAGGGTTAATTTGGTGACGCTGCCTTTGCAGGTAGCACTGCGGTGTTCATCAAGGAGCAGAAAGAGCAGAAGGCTCAGAAGGGAAAGGCTGCAGACGGCTCTTCCAAGGCCAGGCACAGAAGACTTACGAATCCTTCTTTTCATTTCTACTCGAACGAGTGCAGCTTGATCCTCTCCATGACTGAGAACATGCTATCGTAGCTGCCCTCGGATGCCACTGCAATTACGACTGCAAGTCAATTTCTTCCGCTATCTCCATGCCTTCCTGAGTTCTGAGAATTTTATTCGTTTCGATTGTTTCAGTGAATTTAATTCAACTGTTAGTCTTCCGTATGATCACTATCATTCATATATCCTGAACTATGTGAGGCTTGGTAATCGGGTCCGGGGTACCTGGGCGGACCAAAATCGGGGCCAAACTGCGGGGCTCGCGGTGGGTCCTACATTTGCTGCAAGGTGCCACTCAGCCAATGCAGTGCTTGAAGTGGTTTGTACATCTACTGCCTGTGGTCTTTAACAGATTTTAAAAGCTCACAAGCCGTTCTCGGCTGTGAGGGAAGTCTGAGCTTCTTTGCAATATGATCCTTGCAGCTGCGGCCTATTCTTCGCAGACCCGGCTGCGATCGCCGAAGCTGTTCAGACGTCTGCGCTTTTGTCCAACATTTCCACACATTTCCACATGCTAAATACGCCCTGCCTGCATCACTGGGACAGCTCCACAAAAACCCGTAGGACTGCGCAACACTTCATGGCAATTCAGGCATGCCTACGTCAATTTCAAATCGTGAAGATGCGATGGACGAAGACAGCACCATCCAGGTAAGGATGACTGTTACAAGCACGAAGAACAAATTGGACGCCAAGGATGCCACGTCAAAGAATTGTCTTGAAGTTAAAGCTCTCATGGATCAAGGGGACTCTGACAGACCTGAGGCTTGAAGATAGCATCTGAATTGACAGATTTGCCGACAAGATGCCTGTAGTTTGCCACGCAGTAGTTATTGACGAGGAGGCATACAATTTGAGTGGATCCTTTTGAATCAGTGTGGGTTCGGTCGCCTTCGGTAAATCAACATTCAAAAAGCCTGCTCTTGTTTGATGAGTCCTGATGCCCCGCGACCTTGTAGCCCAGCAGGACATGGTCCCTGCCGTCAGAGATCCAATTGTGGTGGTGGGCTGGCCGGCAGGTAGAGGGATGTGTCCCGATGATTGGGTCGAGAAGCTTTCTCCAGTGTGTTTGGCAGACTTCGGCAACATCTTGTTGCTGTTGGATTCGCAAGTTCCAGAGGGCCCTACTCCCAGGGCTTGCGATGCTGTGCAGTGACCCTGAACCATATCCACAGAGAAAAGAAGGGGAGCGTGCTGGGAGGCACAAAGGTCTTTGTCCTCTCCGAGCGCCCCGAACCCAAGAGAACAGCGGCGCTTACAGGCCAGCATCTTTCCAGTGCATGCTGGATCAGACTTGCTGCGCTGTCAGCGATTCCAGCAGTCCCCATGCCCGAAGGACACCGCAAGCTCTTGAATCTGGATACTGGACTCAGACCAGACATTGCGTGTAGGCATTTTCGTTTCATCAAATTTTCCTTTGCGGTTGATGTGAGCTGTAATTTTGTTTCAGCAGTGCGGGCTACCTAGGAGATTGAGCATCGATGCGGGCCGAGAACGTCTGTAAGATGCCTTCGCGAATTGCCTTTGCAAGAGGTGCGCGGATTGGCAGTACTAGCAGTGGGATTGGTTTAGAGCATGATTCTGTGCAGTTTAGTTCTTGCAACATTCATTGGGTCACCCTGCATAGATCTGCCAGGCAGCGGCAATTCTAATTCTGGCTGAGATGCAGGGCGTCACATCTGATGACCCAGGGGAGGCAAGACTCCGCGAAGCTTGCATATGCTTGCTATTCCAAAGCCGCAGGAGGTGAGTTGTACATGATTGTTCTTGTCTTTGGAAAGACATTCATTGATTTTTTCTTGCCTTGCTTGCCTCCAAGCCGGCTTACTTATTCAAACCCATTTACAACCCACGTGCAGATGCAGCATGGCCATGTGAACAAACCTGTCCCAAGCAGTAGACCCTTGCCCCCTTGATGCGCCTGTTCCTGCATAGACTTTTTTGGGGGGGTTGGCAGGTGCCAGAGGATGACGATGTTGGTCTGTATCCCAGAGTGTGCGTGTCATTTGTACTTCCGGGTGGTTAAACCATGCTGCTGAAGAATTCATGGTGAAAGCAGATGTTCCGTCAAAAGCGACGAAATGGAATGGAAGGGAATCAGGTGGTGTGCAGAGCAGATAAGCGCAAGATGAGCAGGTTAGAGCCGTTTTTGACTCTCTTGAGTCTTCAGTCACGTGGCTCAGTGAAAGTCTCGGATGAGGCGACGACACGTTGACCAGCGATGATGCCTCGGACGTTTCTGAGAAAGTTTAATCCTATCAGTTGCCAGCCGTTCAGTTGACCCAGGATTCCGTTTGTTTGGCTGCGTTGCTGGTTCTGAGCCAAAATGGCAGGGCAGCATGGAGCAAGACTACAATGCTGTGTACTGCGTGAGGTTGTTGCTGACATCCTTGAAGAAACCGATGATGCACTCAAGAGAGGGCATTCGGAGGCATTTTCGTATCTTCTTCGAAAGTGAGTTGAGCAAGATGTATGCTCGAGACGAACGATCGGAGGCTTACCATTTGTGCCAAGCGGTGACGGCGAACACGGAGGTCCTGCCAGACGCTCAGTCTGTCTGACTGGTACACGGCATCATGCGTAGCAAGTGAAGGTTTCGCTGAATCAGTTTAGGTCCTCCACCGGCAAGAAGACCAAGATCATTTGTGAGGCCGATACTTGAGCATGCACACATTTCTGGCCTTCATTTTCTTGGCGGAGGTGGTGGACCCCCGTACAGAGCAAGCAGTGGCACGCAACAAGCAGCCTTGGACTCAACTCCGCAGATTGTTCCCCGTTGCTTAGGCAGACAGAAAAGACCCCAAGTGTGCAAATCTCCCTGTCAATTGGCTTATGCATGAACCCGGCCATGGTCATTTGGTGAGTTGTTTCTCACACCGGTCAACAATCTACTCAAGCTGTCTGCAGATGTTTGCAACAAACCGAGGCTTCAAGACACCGCCTTCTTTTTCAGGAGCAAGGTCTCTCTGCACCATACCAACAACAGCACATCGCTGCAAAGTTTGGCGCAGGCCCTGGAAACCGGGATCTTTACAATGGCTATGTCCGAACCGGCAGTGCCAACACCTGAACTGCGACATTGATGCAGTTCCGCGAGCCTGCAAGACTCAACAAAGCAGCACATTGCACGACAAGGTTCAATACACTCATGGTTTTGATGTCGCCAAGCTGCCCATCTCTCAAGGCCGGCAAGGGACAGAGTTGCCAATTAGCTGAATCATGAGTACATGCTCTCTGCACGTCTGACTTTGCTTCAGGCTGTGCCTGTCGAGCAGGTCCTGGACAAGGGACTTGGCATGGGAGGTTCCCTGAAGTGATGCCGATGCTCAACTTCGTTTGCCGAGTCACAGTGTGGTCTGCAGGCAGAAGCCCTGGAATCTTAGCTCGAGCAAATTGGCGGGAGCTTAACGATGCTTGGTTGCCCTAAGTGGTGTCTGTCCTTCCAGTTGGTTAGGAGAGGCAAACATGGTACCAGTGAGCAGAACTGAGGATTCCCAGAGCTTGACATGTCAGGGTGAGGGTATAGAGTTTCCACAACATTCTTGCTATCTCAGGCTGCAGTCAGAATGTCAGGTGGACTGTCGGACGCTCATGCATATGAAGGAGAGCAGCTTTGTGGTTGGACCGGTTTCGTGCCCAGGCTGGTTGGCTGGCATCAGCGCACCCAGGCAGCCAAAAGGGATTTTTGTTGTGCGTGTGGTAGCCGCGTGGCATGTGCCAGGGTCTGAAATTTCAATTGACACCGTCGTGCGGCAAGGCTCATCTTGCGGTGTACGTTTTTGTCATTGGCCCTTGCAAAACTTGGCCGTCGCAAACCAGTATCAGGACGAGCCCATGGTTTGGCATTCTGGAGACCTGCTGCTAGTCCATGCCTCAAGCTGTGCTGATGATAATCGCTAAGCTGCGCGGAACCAAGATGCGAGGTGATCCTGCAACCAGACTTTAAGTGATGGTGGCCAAGCTGAATTGCCTCCTATGGGTAAAGGATCCGAAAACCGGAGCCGCCCACTGTGCATATTTGGAAGCCTTCAGGTGTTTGCTCTGAGCTCCCTTGGCCAACAAAGTAAGTCCTGTGCAGCTGTGCGATGATGCTGTGCATCTTGCTTGGTACTGCAGCTGAGAAGTTGAACATCAAACCCGCATCGCTTTTTGACTCGCGAGTCTGATCTCCCGCACCTCACTTGTTTTCGTGGCTGAGCTGCGCCGCTAGACATGCCGCATGAGATTGCCTTTGACCTCTACGACGAGCGCTGGCGTGAGTGCTGGCTGGCGGCAACCTCTACTGCGCGCTTGCGCAAGAAGCAGGTGGACATTGACATTCAAGAGCGAGTGCATCGCTTGATTCAGGAGCATGGGCCAAACACTGACAAGCCGCTCACGCTGCGTGTCTACGGCACAATGATCAAAGGCTTCTGCGTTCTGAACAACGAAAGGGCTCGGGCCCTCTATTTCGACTCGGAGCGCGTGGTTCTGATGTTTGCCCGGCAGCCCTTTACAGAGGACAAAATCAGATTGCCTGCAGCCAAGAGGCAGCGGATGGAGGCAGCTCTTACTTTAGACTTGGATCTGGCCAGAGTGGAAGCTTGTGAAACCTTCAACTGGACACAGGCGCCATTGGAAGAAGGAGCTCTTTTGCAACTTGGCGGGGCCGCTCAGGAGGTTCTGCCCTCCATTGAGCTGGCAGAGGCTATGCCACAGTTGCTGGATCCGAATGCCTCGGACATGGCTCCTCAGAAGGCAGAGATGGATTGGCTCCCTCGCTTTGACTTCGGCCCGCTTGAGGCACCAGCAGCACAAGGAATTGAAGGCCAGAGACCAAATCCAGAAGACAAGTCAGGTGATCCTCTCATGCAGCTCTTGGGTGCACCACAAGACCTTGAACTGCGCGAGCCGCAGGCTTGTGGAGTCGAGGCTGAGAGAGAGGCAGCTCAAGCGCTCAAGAGAAGGCGCGCGGAGAGGGCAAATGCGGCTCTTCTCCGTCCAGGGTTAGTGTACGGTTTTGACTCTGACACTATGATTTCTTCTCAGCGCTTTACGGATTGGCAGCTCGAGGGTGACAAGCTTTGTCGAGCGCGACTTGCAGCCATGGACCAGGCTTGGCACTTTTCGATGCTGCCTTGGGTTGAGAATATTTAGCATTATAGTACAGCATGTCCGAGCAAGCTTCAGAATGTCCAAATGCCCGGCATTGTATGGCATGTCCACATTTGCGTGCGCGGTTGCATGTCAGGGCTAATGGTAAGTGCCTTTGGCATAGGCACGAGGTCATGTCCCATGAAGCTGTCGCGTGCACGTTTTTCTTCATGTCCAGTATGCTTTAAGTAAAC